GAATGTTGAAAGCCAGTTAACTGCGTTTTCGATCGCTGCCTGCGTCGGCGTCGCTCCCTCTGTCCGTCTCGCTCGCTCTTCGCCTGCTATCGCAAGTGTGCGAAAGAGAACGCTGGTGTGTTGAGTAGCGGCGGCCAACTTTTGTGACCATATATGGTCATGTTTCGAGGCGAAAAATCGTCTGGCTTTCGCTCTCTCACACACACACACACCTTCGTACTACATATACATTAAGTCGAAGGTTTTCTCCATTTTTGCGACAACGACTTTGGAAAACCGGCAAAAATTTCAGCTTGAGCCAAAACGGCTGCCTACGTCACTAGTTTCAAGAACCTGATTCTCAGATCTAGATATTGGTATCATCTCGTACAAACATATAGGATGAATGGTTTTCTTGGAGCGTGGGAAAAATAGAAAGTGTTGGCGAATTGAATTGCAAATTCGAAATTTGACATTTCTTTGGGTGAAATCGCGACACGCCCACATCATAAAGGAAGGTCTACGGGACACCTAACCATTTTGGGTTTATCATGGAAGTAATTTGCACTAAAAATGAAGTTCTGATTCTTAACTTTATGTATCCTAACTTTTAAGTTATGATGTTAATACTCTGGTTCATCGGATAGAAAAACCTTATAAATGTTATATATCTTGATTTTTGAGTTAAAGGTTCTTTGGTTCTTGTAATAAGTTAATCTTGTAGTTTTGAATTAAATTTGTATATATCCTGATTTTGGAGTTGTGGTATTTAAAACTCTGGTTCTTGTCGTTAGAAAACTTTGTAATTTTGATTTAAGTTTTCAACTATGCTGGATTTGGAGTTGTGGTAGTTTTGAAATCTTGTAATTTTGATTTACAATTTTAGGCCAAACTGATTTTCGAGTGTTGGTCAATACAATAACCCTTTTTAACTCATGGCTCGTTTTTAAGATCACTTTTCGCACTGGCACATAAAAAAATAATTTGTTTACAAAAAAATCACACATTTTGTCGCGGTATTTGTTGAATTGTTTGAGAGGGTGGGTCTGAGGGATACTTACATTTGGTGTGTTTTATTAAAATTAATTAAATAAATATAAATTAAGTCTTTCGGTTTGGTGTCTCTGGATTAGACGACTGCTGGCTGATGGAGCTGTTTGTTGTGTCGGGAGGAGTATCCACACAGCACAAGAACTCGAACGTTAGTGATATGAAAACTGGTCCCGCTGCCCGTTTTATAAAGCCCGCTTAGCTTAGCGCTAAAACCTTATCAGCTCAGAGCGCTCTCTTCTCTTTGGTAGCGTCCAAAACTTTTACCATATATGGGTATGAATTGTTCGCCAATTCGCTTTTCGGAGAACTGGGTGTGTGGCTATGTGTCTATATACCATAGTATTGGTGTGTAGTGTAGTTTCACGGGTCCTATCAGCACACTCGGGGTTTTTGGCTCTTTCATGTGATTCAGGGCGCGTTACTGTTGCTGCTGTTACTGTTACTCATGCCCACTCGATACTTGTTATCTTTATGTTACGAAGTCAAAATTCTTTGCGAATTAAATAATACAAACTAGTTATACATAATCATAGTCCATTAGTAATATATTTGGAATTTTCACGAAAGTAATAATTGCTCTAACATTAACGTTATAAGAAACCCATTTTTAAGTACATAAGATAAGAATGTTTATGTTGACTTTTCCTTATGAATTCGTTGGACAAAAATATAACAATAATTGCATTGCTTGCCAATAGGAATATGTCGTGCACCCGAAATAAAACGCATTGGCCTCCCACAGCAATTGAACCCCCGTGTTCGCCTTAACAAATAAATTGAAAATTTTACATTACCATATAATCAGACAAAACTTTTTTTGAACAATCAAAAGTTCTCATATTTTCTATGTTCTTCTTCAAGCACAAAATATATTATTTTACTTTTATAACAGCAATTCATATTGATTATTTTTTAAATGATATGGAGCAAATTCAAATAAATTACGACCAATTAATCTAAAGATATCAGTCTAAAAGTGATAAGGTCTTTTCTATTTTTATCAAAATCACACTTCTGAAAAGTGTTGATCATTTTCAAGCAGGGTATTCGTTAGTCATCAAAAACGCATCTCTCAAGCCGCAAGCCGGTTTTGAACTATAACGGCGAAACAGAAACAGCTGCCAGAAAAGAGAAGAGTACACAGAAAACAAATTAATGTTTGATGATGGCTCTACACATAATATTGGATCTACTTCAAAATTTAAATAAGTCTTCTAAAAAATGTTTGAGCTATGTATATTGACGAGTAGCTGAATTTGCTAAAAATTATGTACACATAAAGCAAGTCAATAATAACATCAAGGAACAATACTGCAGAATATATTTAAACCAAAGTAAGTTTAGTAATTTAAATATTAAAGTATACAAAAAAAATGTAAATTAGACCAATTGTAAATTGTCAACCAATAAAGTTAATACAATTTTAAACATAAGTTTATACTTGGGTAACTGGAAAAACGCAACATAATTATAAAAATTTTATTTTTTTATCTTATAGTATTCTAAAAATTGTTTTCAGTGTATGTGATGCGTTTGCGCAACAGAGACGAAGAGAGAAATGCGATACACATACACACATTGTCATCAACGGCGAGTGTAAGCTACTCTCTGTTCTCTTTTTAAGACTTGCGGCAGTTTTCCAGAGGCTGTGACTCAGTGCGTGTTATTGTAGTTGCCCCAATGATAAGCCCGAATCGCGGTTCTCTCTCGACTTATTTTTGTTTTTTTGAGCCCCAGCCAAGGCATAAACAATATACAATATCGTCTGGCATTCGCAATTGTTACTGCATATGCATTCCTATCGGGCGAAAAGATATTTTTCGCTAGAATTCGGCGTTTTTTCACCGCAAGTCGCGCTTGCCGGGTTCTGCCATCTCGCTCGCACTCGTCTCTGCAAACAAAAAGTGAAAGAGGGAAAGCCGCTCATTATTGTTATTGTTGGCTGCACACACATGGCAATAACTAAACAATATGTAGACTTATTTATTTGCGCGTTTTCGTTGACTAATCTTTGTTTAAATAATTGCCTATCTTGAGCCAAAATGACGCATAAAAGGAAACGGCAACATAAGGCGTGAGTGAGATGGCAATAGAGAGAGCGCCAGCATAAAAAGAAAACAACAACGCACACAGTCACACGAATACACACGCACACATAGTCAAAGGAGTGGCTCCAATGTTGGTGACGTCGCTTCCAGCCACAACCCCTCTGCCCCCTTCATGCCCCACCCATACCCCCATCCTATGGCCGTCCCTCACCCCCTTGCAGCGCCCCCGCCCCTTCCGTTTTGCCGCATTTGGTATCATCGCCATCTCGCTTTTTTGGCTTTATTTTCTTTTTGGTTAAGAAACTGAAATCAAAGAGTAGAGACTGGAAATTGCAAATATTCCAAAAAAACAATGCACTCTGTTCGTGGAAAAATTCCGAAATTCGAGCATGATCAAAAAATAAAGGTTCAATAAATGTAATCAAAAAATACGATACAATATCGTTAAGTGAAAAAAAAACCTTTTAATTATATTTAATAATTTTTATTATTATTATATAATTTTTTGCTAAGTCCTATAGAATTTTTACATAAATAAAAGGATCCTAAAACTAATAATGAAATTATTACAATTTTTGATAATCAAACTGTGCTACATTTATTTTTTGATCATAGATGTATCAATGGATTATAAGCTATTTACTTCTGTCCTCTAAAAAAAATGATATAAAAACAAATTCCTTAACAATTTATTCCCAGCTGTTCGACTGTTTAAAACTAATTCTCATGGTTTTGTGTTTAAAATATTCGCCGACGTCATCGCGAAATTCCACGTTCTTCTTCTCTTTCTTGATTTTTTTCGAAGAAAAAAAAGAGATAGCGAGTGACACAATCTTATCTTTGTGGACGGGTCTTTGAAAATTGCCCCGGCTAACGGTTAAAAACATATAGCCGAGAATGGAAACGATTGCAGTCTGATGGAAATTGGCTTCGAATTGATCCGAATATGGTTAGTTAGCATTGGATTGTCGAGAGAGCTCTCAACTAGTTCTCCTCCGCCCGAAGATCATCATTTACTATGTATTTGGTATTTAGCGTTGATCAGTCAGCTTTAATGGCCATAAGACGTGTCTTTGGTTTGTGGGCCACATAACAGGTAACACAAGAGCTGGACAAATGATAGCAGTGGGAACGACTAAGAAGTGTTCTATTAGTTGGATCGCTTATAAATAAATTGAAAATGATTCATAGTTTATTATGGGATGCATTTTTTTATTATGTTTTAATTCTCCTTCAAATTTCTATTCAAACTTAAATAAACAAACGTTTCTTGTTATTTCAGAATACAATTAATATATTTGCATAAAACCATTATATTCCAATATTACGCTTAAGAAACTTCCTTGGGTTTTCAAGCCCAAGATCTTAATTCTCTTGGCCTTATTTGGTCTTTTCAAGTTCGTTGCTCGACTAATTTTTTTCTTTTGTTTGACTATATTTTGGCAAGGCAAATTTCCCCGGGCCAATGGCTTAGGTATTATTAACCTTGGCTCGATCGACAAGCTAGAGAGGGGGGGTATTGAAACTAGAAATACTTAAATAGCCAAAAACAGCGCGTTGATGTTGACTTTGAAACCGCTATAAAACAAATTAAAAAAACAGCAACATATAGCCATGATCAACGACCTTTCTCCAAAAGTACGTAACTCGTCACGTTTTCTACACTCACACATAAACACAAAAAAAAGAAAACAAATAAAATAAACAAGTTAAGCGACTTGGGCCAAAGCCATTGTCAAGGTCATTGAATGTGAAAATTTTCGTACATTTTTCGCAATTAATTTGTTTTCTTCCATTTCCATTAATTTTCATCATGGTTGCCATTTGCCATTAACATGCACGCATTGCCAGGGTTGCCACCCCGCCCCCTCCTATTTTCCTTTTATTTTTATTTAACCAGCTGGCATTGCAGTCAACCGC